ATGCATCTCAAGCAGATCCAAGGAGGTGATCCTCCCCCTCTATGCGGCACTGGTCAGGCTGCAGTTGGACTACTGCGTCCAGTTCTGGGTGCTGCACTTCAAGAGGGATGTGGACAACATGGAGAGGGTCCAGAGGAGGGCCACTCGCATGACCAGGGGGCAGCAGGGCAGGCCCTACGAGGAGAGGCTACGGGACCTGAACCTGTTCAGCCTCCACAAGAGAAGGCTGAGGGGGGATCTAGTGGCCTGTTACAAACTAGTCAGAGGGGACCTGCAGGCATTGGGGGAGTCCCTGTTCCCCTGAGCACTACCAGGAGTGACTAGAAATAATGGTCACAAGCTGGCAGAGGGTAGATTTAGGCTAGACATCAGGAGGCACTATTTCACGGTCAGGGCGGCTAGGATCTGGAACCTACTTCCAAGTGAAGTGGTGCTGGCTCCTACCCTGGGGGTCTTGAAGAGGAGGCTGGATGAACACCTTGCTGGGGTCGTTTGACCCCAGTACTCTTTCCTGCCATGGCAGGGGGTTGGACTTGATGATCTGCTCAGGTCCCTTCTGACCCTACCCTACCCTACCTAGCAACTAAGAGTTGCAGGACCAGGTACCACCACATAATTCAGGAATTCATCTCCCTCATGGTGTGTAACCAGTAGAGGGGTGCATGGTCCATGATCAAGGTGAAGGGTCTACCCAGCAGGTAATATCTGAGGGTCTGGGAGTAAGTTTTTCCATCTCCATGAATGCACTGGATATGTATTGTATCTGAGGGCTCCTTGGCATTCAAGAGTAGGGATAGTCTAATAATTGTCTGGCCACACCCCAAATCTGCCAGGGCCATGTCTTTAGTGCCATTCACTGACAGTCGTGAGCACTGTCAGTTTTGCAGGCTGGGAAGCCTGAGCCAGAGGCTCATCCAGATTTTGGCATAGTCACACTCCATGTGCAGGCAGTCTCAAGCCCAATGTCAGAGTTGGCTACAGGTGAAACAAGCATCCTGCACCTTGCAGCCGACTGAGGGAGAAGGGGGGAACGTCCCTTGGCCTGGTTCCCATCCCCTTTAGGCTGGCTGGAGCCATCTCTTCTAGCTTGGGGAAATGGGTTTGGGGGGCCCCCATCCAAGGCTGGAGGAGGCCCCAGTCCCCTGGGTTGAGGATTTCTTGCCCTGGCAGCTCCAGTTGGTCCTTCCTGCGTACCCTGCCTTCTGTGGTTGCCTGCCTCTGGGGTACTCTCAGGCCTCAAGGTGTCTGGGTCTCGTTGGGAGTATGCCCTCTGTACAGTTTTGCTGCCAGGAATCACTCCTTCGGGTGAGCCACTGCTACCACCACCTTGGGCTGATGATGCAAAACACAGCATCTACTCCCAGCGAGCAGTATTATGATGAGCTACTCCAAGAGAATTATCTCTACCACCTGTTTTCCTGTCTTGTCATCTGGCTTGAGCCAGTGCCAACATCAGTCCCTCAGCTGCTGGACAATGAGGCAGGGTCAGCCTCCAGGTGGATAGTGCTACTCATGAAAGTGCTATCTGAAATGTTGAGTGCACCCAGCATTGCAGCTTTCACTTCCTGGTAATCCTGAGCTGTCTTGACATCGAGACCTTGGTAGGCCAGCTGGGCCATCCCTGACAGTTAAGCCAGGATCACTGCCCATTGCTCTGGAGGCCAGTGTGCAGCAGCTGCCACCCTCTCAAATATTTCTAACTATGTCTCGAGGTTATTGGCTGGTCCCATCTGGATAGGAGTGCTCTGGCTTGTGACAGCCCGTCTTGGAGAGGGGCACTGTTGGTGCAGGTAGCTGCAATAAGGCACTAATCTGCTGCACCAGCTGCTGCCACTGCTGCTGCTGGTTCTGAACTGCTGAGTCCTTAATTAGTTGCTGCTGGTGGACAGCCATCCATTTCAGCAGTCTCCATGGTGTAGGCTGGAGGAGGAGTGGGGTAGCATCTGTGACCTGTTTCTCCCATTGCCCTGTCCAAACCTCCTTGTGGCAGAGGTTAGGATTGCTAAATTGCCTGAATTCTCCACCATAATGTAACAGGGCATCGGGGCAGCTCCCCAGTCCCCAGGTGACAATCTACCAAGGCACTCACACTGACCTGGCAATCTGTGTAGCTTAGGTTTCATAGGTCCTGACCTGAACCCAGGCTGCATCACTCCTGAGAGCCCTCTGAGCCTCAGTCCCATCTTTTATACCACACCGGGAGGCTTGGTATTGGCTGCAAGCATACCCCAGCAGGGCCAACATGGCCCAGCAACTCTCTCTAACCCTTTCCTTGCCAGGGACAAACCAGTTCATGCCATCATACTGTTGTACAGCACTTCTGTCACACTAGTGCTAAATGGGAGTGGATCAGAAGGACAGCACATTTGCTAAGTTTGTACAGGTGTAATGGATAGCACAGGGCCCAGGGCTGTGTGACCTCAGGCTGCATATGGTGGTGCAGTCCTGTCCTATTTGACAGGCTTTAAATCAAGATACGCTGCTTAAGCTCAGCCAGAGGTTCTGGGCTGGATGCAGAAGTCTCTGAGTGACGTTCTCTGACTTGAGCTGGGTAGGAGGTCAGCCAGGATGGTCACAGGGGCAAGGTTCCCTCTAAGCTACGCGTGTGCATGGCCGCGCACAATTAAAAATCTTGCTGCGCACCAACTTTTTAATGCCGCGGATCTGGCCGGAGGGGAGCTGGGCGTGGAGTGCGGTGGAGGCACCGGGGCCATCGTGGGACACTTACCAAAGGTAAGCTCCTCGCTTCTCATGCAGGGCAGGCAGTGGCTCCTCCCCGAGGGGGGGCTGGGGCTGGGGGCTGGTGTGGGCTCCGCTGGCTCCGGAGAACTGCCTCGCTCCCCTGCATCACCTCGGGGAGCGAGGAGGCACATGGCATCAGGGCTGGGGAACAGAGCAGTTCCCCGGAGCCGGCAGAGCCCACGGCAGCCCTCAGCCCCCAGCCCTGCCTCGCCTCACCTCGGGGAGGAGCCGCTGCCTGCCCCATGTGAGCTTACTTTTGGTAAGTGTCCCATGCCAGCCCCGGTGCCTCCCTTTCAGTTCTGTCAACTGATTTTGTCTGGCCCCTGGCTGTCCCACAGCACTCCACTATGCTGCTCTGGGCAGCAGTTAGCATGGAG